TCTCATGTAGTATGTTATGTGCTTTGTCCTGTAAATGTGTTATTTTGTGTTGCAATAAATAAAAAAAAAAATATATATATAAATTGTTAAATATAATTATGACATATGATAGATATCAGAAGCCAGATGTCACAATCACCTGATGCTTGAGTTAAACACAGAAATGTGGAAATTTTTGTTGTTTACATAAAGGTTAAACTTACATCCATGTATGTGCTTTAGTGGCCATTGATATGGAAGGGGATTTTTTTGTGAGTGGAGGAGGACTGAGCTCCAGGTTCCGTGTTGGTAAAATCACCTTCCACTGGGGGCGCTGCAACGCAACCTCAGATGGGTCTGAACACAGCCTGAATGGGATGAAATACCCTCTGGAGGTAAAGAAATATACATCTGTTTGTCTAGCCATCAACACAATTACAGTTCATACATTTGTCTACCAGTTCAGCTGTTTCTTGCTCATTCAGATGCAGATCTACTGTTATGATCCAGATGACTTCCAAAGTCTTGATGAGGCTGTAAGCGAAGGAGGGAGGATCTCTGCTTTAGCTGTGCTATTTGAGGTAGGTCAACATGTGATCCAGTGTTAGGGATCAATCGTTTCCTCCTTAACTAACGTAAAGTAAGGCAATTAATGCCTTTCTATGAAATCCACAGGAGAGATACTGTATGTTTTTCTCCACAGATCAGCCTGGAAGACAATGAGAACTTTGTTCCTATCATGGAGGCCGTCAGCACTGTCAGCAGGTTTGGTATGTCACTTCAACAAAACAGCTGTGGGTCGTCACTATAAAAATAACCATGTAGCTGGGTGCAGATTATAACATACAATAATAAACCCTTCAATTTGATGACATGTTGTGGCAATGGCAAACATACTGTAGTGCCTGTAGTGACTCTAAAATGCCCATAGAAGTGAATGTGAGAGTGAATGGTGACCTGTCCAGGTTGTACTACACTTCTCACCCAGTGTCAGCTGGAATTTGCTCTAGTTTCCTGTGACCAAGGATTAGTGATGTAGCTGATGGAGGGATGATTTTATATTCATCAGCTATAAGGTATAATTGTGTTCAGGAGAATGTTTGTGGTTAATCAACAAAGAGAGCAGCAGAATAATAGTGTTTGTCTAGTGGTATTAAAGAGCCCATGGCATGCTTTTCCTTGTTTTCTGACTTATCTACAATGTTACAACAGTAAATTATCATCTTAAACGTGACCTAAAGCTCAAAAAATGAATGTGTACATGCTGTATGTTCTAGTACTTCTATGCAGAAGCAACTTAGTTTATACAAGTCTTACAAACTCTCGCTCAGGGGACTTTTCTAATGAAATAAAGCATTGAGTGATAGTTTAAAGGGTTTCTTTGAATGGTCATAATCTCTAGGCAGTTGCACATTCAAGTGAGCTTGCCTGACATTCACAGGTGCCACTATAAAAGTGGAATTTTTAAACTGCACACATTTTTGTGGATATATTTTATCTCCTGCTGCCTGCATTGTGACCAATGGATGTGGGGAAAAATACAGGGCCTGACATTATAGCATATCTGGGAATGTTCATGTATAGGGACCAGTGACGTGCGGTCAGGGGAGGCAGGTGAGGCAGAGCCTCCCCTGTCAATCTTGAAAAGAAAAAAAAGTTAACCATAAAATATAATAAATGTTAATATTTGTCGGCTGGTGTGTGTTGTAGGCCTTTTTGCCATTCGAAGCCGATGTTGAAGGAATTTTTTTCAATAAAGAATAGCAGAATTTCCATATGTCCCGTTCAAATACATTGGGGAGATACGCCGTGAGGCAGCACTTTGCTGTGCCTCTTGGTGGATCGTGTAATCCTCACAAACTGTATGCGATGCAAATAGTGTGTCGCTGTCTTTCTATATATTGCAAATAAAATGCTTTCAAACACTGATTATATGCTCTGCCTTGCCATAATCTGGATAATGTATAAAATGTAGTTCTGTAACGTGTTTAGGCTCGCAGATTAACCATAAAACCCAGTAAAAAAGTTACTCGGTGAGGCAAACAGTACCCCTGCCTCAAGGAACATTTGTTTTAATATTGGATTCGAACGGTAAAAGGGTTTGTAATACATACCAGCTGACAAATGGATTTCGTGTACAAGTAAAGGTAAGACCATAAACTTTTATTATTTCTAGTTAGAAATAAGCTCAATTGGAATAAATTTTAACCTCAAATTAAATATGGGTCACGTTTGTGTGAAGAATGCTGATATGAGATATAAAACATAACGCCTTGTTAACAATTTGTTAACGGTTCATTTGTATTTGTAAATCTGACTGTAAAAGAGTCAGTGCCTCACCAGCTGTCAACCTCACCGCACGTCACTGATAGGGACCTGCTGTTTTACCTGACTGGGCCTAACCTACAAACAGCACTCCATGGCAGTGAATGATCAGCTCATCATTGCTGAATTTCCCTGGAGCACAGTATCATTTTGACCTAATTTCTTTGAGCTTTAGGTCACATCCAAGATCATAATTCACCATTGTAACATTGTAGATAAGTCAAAAAACAAGAAAAAGCTCTTTAATGCCTTGTTTCTGTGACATGCTCTTTAAAGAAAAATGAAATCAAAATGTGGTGTTTTTGTAATCAAATAAAGCAGGCAACTAACAAGCAGCTTGTGTCAAAATATTTGCTATTTGCTGTTTTGGCATTCTGTTGCTGACTTGGTCTTTTTTTTTTTTACCCAGGTAAGAGCAGTTCAGTGGAAGCTTTCACCTTGCGGTCTTTGCTGCCTAATAACACAGATAAATATTACATATACAATGGCTCACTGACAGCTCCTCCTTGCTCTGAAATGGTGGAATGGATCGTCTTTAAATACACTGTGGCCATATCAGAAACACAGGTCAGTAAATTTTATTATGCACACACATGCATCTAGCTGGACATACACTGACATAATGCATTCTTTAGCCCAGGGGTCTCCAACCTTTTATACTCAGAGAGCTACTTTGAATAAAATTGAAGTGGCTGAGAACTCCTCATGTTTTATATTAGGCTACTAGTTACATTTAATTGTATATTGTGTCAAAACTTTCAAACTGATTTCCAAACAAAACCAGTTCAATAACCTAATTGTTTTATGTACACAGTTATCAAATATTAATATCCAACACTTTTTGTATCAAAAACATTAAAAACCTCAGTCATCACATCAGATTTCCAAGCTTATATGCATCTCCTTTCAAATCTAAACCTTATTTTATCGAAAATGGTTATGGAGATAGTTGCCCGTGGCTGTGATGGAGAGGAGGAGCAGGTAGAGATAGCTAGGTTTTGATGGGGTAAACAGGTAAAAATCCAAAAAGACAAACTGGAGGCACGAGGAAAACACAAAGAGACGAGGAACAAAAATAGCGCTGGTTGTCGGCATAAGAATCGTGACAAACTGGCAAGGGAGTGGTATGTGAGCAGAGTATAAGTAGGGTGAAGGACTAAGTGAATGCAGCTGGTGTTAATTAAGGAATGTGTGGCAGGTGTGCAATGTGGAGTGAACCGAGACTGAAAAAGCAAGAGAAGGAGGCAAGAGAGGCAGGTGCAGCCGAGCAAACCTGACAGGGGCATGATCTGGTACCAAAAGACCTATAATGCAAAGACAACACAAAGTGGCACTAAAACATCAATCAGTGTGATTTCAGGCTAAATATGTTTTAGGACCTTGGTAAACTGTTGAATTTGGATTAATTCATCTGGGTAATAACTATATGTACTGTAGCAGAATAATGGAAAGTGAATGAGGTCATGCCAGTGGTTGTGTGTATGTTGTGTGCACATATTTGTGTGTGTGTTTATTGGTGTTTACGTGATTCAAAAAGGAATGGCAAGGCATGACATGGGCACACTGCAGCTAACTGAAAATAGAGCAGTGCTATCTCTCTGCCTCAGCCTGGCACCAACACAAGGCTCTTAAACACACTCATACAGTGGGGCAAATAAGCATTTGATACACTGCCGATTTTTCAAGTTTTCCCACGTACAGAGAATGGACAGTTCTGTAATTTTCATCGTAGGTACACCTCAACTGTGAGAGACAGAATCTACAAAAAAATTCTAGAAAATCACATTGTTAGATTTTTAAATAATTTATTTCCATTTTATTGCATGAAATAAGTATTTGATCACCTACCAACCAGCAAGAATTCTGGCTCTCACAGACCTGTTAGTTTGTCTTTAAGAAGCCCTCCTATCCTCCACTCATTGCATGTATTAATTGCACCTGTTTGAACTTGTCACCTGTATAAAAGACACCTGTCCACACACTCAATCTATCAGACTCCAACTTCTTCACTATGGGCAAGACCAAAGAGCTGTCTAAGGACACTAGGGACAAAATTGTAGACCTGCACAAGGCTGGGATGGGCTACAGG